GAACTCAGTTGGTCATTCTTTGAACTAGGCTCGATAGTTCAGAACAGTATTTTTTGGGGGCAATTCTTTACACTTTTTGATAAGTTAGAACCAGTTCTGACCAGCCGTTACTTTGGTGGCTCAGTGTAACATAGACTTTAGTTTCCGTTGGAAATTGTTGCGTGAGAGTAAACTGCATTGTTTCCAGAAGGCGAGTTGCAAGTTTCACGAGAAGGGCAATTGTTAGGAACGTTACGCCCAGGAATTGTTATGGGAGAGCTTGCCATCCTCTACAACTGCACCAGGTTGGTCTATCACTGCTCGTTGTTACCTTTAATTCCTCTTTTATCCTTTTGTGAGGCTTGTACCGTACTTCCTTTTCCTTTCGACGTGGAGTGAGTGAAGTCTTACGTTGATGATTTCTGGCGAGGAGGGTCGTATTTGGCCGCTTCAGGGAGGAAGGGAGGTTATACTTGCTCTTGAGAAAAATGTTTTTGTTCTTTGACTTTTCGGTTTTTTTTCTACCTATACTCCCTATCCCTGAGACGGAGTAGGCGTGGCATTTGAACATATCATACAATGGGTTGCTCGTGGGATATTTCAACTCGAGAAAACTGTCATCCTGTTGTGCGTTGGACTGAGACATGGCCAATATTACGACAAAATGAAAATATCTCACCAGAAGTCCAGTCACTGATACGTTCAGTTAAAGTCGCAGCCACGCCTCATAGATTTCGTGTATATTACAAGTGCAACATACTCTCCGCCGCCCCCCCCCCGCCTCTTCCCTTCTGCTCAATAGCTGGGTTTTTTTTTTCTTTGGAAAAGTGGTAGGAATCTGGAAAAATTGATGATGGTGCTAGGTAACATGAGGGATGGGGAAGGCTTGCCGTACCGTAGGGCGAAATTTTGAGGGGATGGGGTCGTATTTTGCAATGAATTTTCGTCGAAGATAGGACGTGCTGTGCTGTAGGAACACAAGGTGGTACAGAAATCGTCTCCCCGTCTAGGCGACCCAAGCCTTTCATCCCTCCAAGACCGGTTTTTTGGCACCAGACTTCTCTAGGGAAACAAATACTTTGTTCCACACATCGCATAGACTGTTCCGCGTTCAGTATGCCCCGAAGATGGAAAAAGGGTGCGTGGCGCATCCCAAGGGATCGTGCAGACAAACTTTTCTTCGCTACTAACCATGAGACCGCTTTGTTCTCTCTGAACATGCGCATTTTACACCTAAGCGCGTAACAAATTGACAAGAGGCGGGTACATTAGATCGTCACTTCGGTCACTGCGCTCTAAGACGGTCGGACGATGTGTTGGTGGTGATGGGCGTAAAGTGGACCATTCGACATCGCTGTGCTCTCCTTGAGCAGCCTTGATCTGGCTCATCCTCATGCCAACCTACCACTTTGCCAAGCTGCAAGCACGTAATTTTCGTCATGTATTCCGCAAGTTCTACCGTCATCTGACTCGTCCATCTAGCCGCAAGTGGAGGCCGTTATCTTTTGTCACCTTTGAACTGTTGTTCGGGCGCAGACGGCAGTCTATTTCAAAATTAGAAAAACTGAAGTGATTGCGCCGACGTCTCTGCCTAGCGTGATTGCCTATTTATGTCACAATGGACGCTGTGGCGTGTTTAATGCGCATTTATTTCTGCCATAAGACTGTTGCTACACTTGTGGTAGAGATTGCATCAAATGCAGAACTTGGTTGGCCGCCATGATTGGTTTGCCAATGGCACGGTTTCATTTTTTATCCTTGTGGGCTGAATGGAGCGTTATTCTTATGAATCTTAAGTCCAGGTGCGTTCCGCTATTCTACGTTTCGCAATTTGACGACGGCCGGAGGGAGGGGCATTTTGCACATTTTGGCTGCTCCTCATCGACGTGTCGACCTATCTAGACAGCCTCTTCTCGAGTTAACAGGTTTTAACATGATGGCTTGACGACCTTGTTCCAGCTTTACAAGAGTACACAGGTTTCACCAGAGTGAGACGTGTAAACCGGAATTAAGGAAGCAGTGATAGTACAAAATGCCCCCCCCCTCGGTCGTCAAACTGCGCCATATTCTGCAATTGTTCACAAGTTTACGATTCAACTGTTTATTTTTTATTGCAGGACAGCGTCTATACAAGCGCTCACCGACGTGCAACTATGGGTACTGGACCGCAGTGTATTCCAAACAATAACGCAAAGGCTTGGAATGGAAAGGCATACACAGCTGATGAACTTCTTGAGCAAGGTGATTATTGTTGCGATAGTTTAGTAGCAGTGTACTGTAGTTGGTATGAGGGGTAAGGACGGCAGGGGGGAGGGGGTGGGGATTTTGGTGTAAGTCTCGTGAACTTTTCTGAAGATACGCGGACAAGGCGCATCCAGCTGTTGGGGAAATTTTCGCAAAGTACTACTTCCTGAGGCGGAGCTGCTATAAAGTGGCGCGCTTACCACTCGCGCGGTCATAGGTTTAAATCCAGGGTCGACTTCCGCCCAGGCTAACCGAGCCTTCCGGGACGGTTGTACCACATTCCTGTGGGAGGATAAAAACACTGACTTGTACATCGGCTGGCCTCCCAAATCATTGTATGGGCCACATCGCATTCAGTAAGCAACTACTGTTCTGAATACGAGGAAACAAACTGCGGGGATGTCCCTCGAAGGGATTGATCAGCGGTGAAGACTATCCCTTTCCTTTATACTACACCCCCCTTCCGAATTTCCTCCTCCGGTACGGCCCCTTCGCCAGTTCCCATCCACACCCCCATCCCACCTACTATATCCTGAATTACCTGTTTCCTATCACTTCGTCGAAGTTTTTTTTTCTCAAGAACTTCATTTCAACCATTTTTCGAAGTTTTTTTTTCTGTCAGAAACTTCGCCTTTAGTCCAAAAACTATCATCGAGCGCTGGAGGGGGAGGGGGAGGGAAGGGGTAGGACGGTATGTGGCGAAAATAAAATGAGAAAACCAACAATTGAGAACGTTTTCCCCAAGGGCCAATACCATCGCTCTCTTCCTCCAGCCACCAAATACGACCCACTTCGCTGGGGATTTCCAACAACGACTTGCCACCCCCAAAGTACCACTTGCCCCCAGCGCAGGTGTCTTGCGCTTTGGTGTTCTTGTGATAGGTTTACTATTAGTAGTATGGCAGCATGTCTGATGAATTCTTTTTTCATGGATTTCAATGGTGAAAATTGCGTCTAGGTGCTCTTCTAATGGAATATTGCAAAGGTTCTTTTATACTGGTAGTTGAGGCAATGCGCTTATCATTGAAAAGATTTATCGGTCTTGCATTTTACCGTATTTGAGATCTTTCATTCATTCAGCAAATTTCGCAGTAGTGTACGTTCAGCAAATTTCGCAGTGGTACTGTAGTTGAGTAGTTTGGTCATCCCTTAGTTTTTTTTTTCGATTAAACTCATAAAAGGAAGGGAGATTGGTCATAAGACTTGCACGGGTTAAAGAATCCAAGATAACGAATGCAGACCTTCGGCACCGTATGCACTTTGAAGCTGGTCCTCTTTCGCCGACTTCCCCCTGAGGAGACCTCTCTAGCCTTTACTTTCGAAATATTTCTTACTCAAATAAAAATGGAAAGATTGACCGGAATGAAGGCAGATGGTTTAATAGAGATCCTTGACGTCCCATTATGTGTTTGGATCCTATTTGGAGTCATTTTGTTACTGTGTTCTATCCGTGTGGAGAAGAAATCAGTAAGGGTGTTATTATTAGCTTTTGGTGAAAATTATCAGTAATAATGGGATTCTTACAATTCAGGTGTCGATTTTCGAGAATTTATCCGAGGATCGCATCTCAAAAATGGCCGACGTAATGGATCAGGACTACTATGCAGCTGGGCACTATATTATCCGCCAAGGAGAAAAGGTAAGCGATTTCTGGGCCTTGGACTGAATAATGTTGTTGTTCTTCTTAGCTTATTGATTAGTTAAGCAGCGTTCGGACTTCGCGATTATGTGTGTCGACGCGCAGTAACGCGCGTCGACGCGCTACCCGTGCATGGGCGTTCGGAGGCTATAGGAAAAATGCAGTCGCGGACGATAATCGGTCGGTGCCGGCTACTTGTGCTTTTAGAGAATATGGGGGAATAGAAGGGCCGGCGCTGCCTTTCAGTACAATTTGCTATGCCCCATAGTCTCTCAAAACACAAGCAGCCGGCGCCGATCGATTGCCGTCTGCGGCTGCGTTCGCGTCTATAGCATTGGAGCGCTGTTGCGATTGTAGCGCGCCGACGCGCGTCATCGCGAAGTCTGATTGCTGTCTAATGTTGTACTTGGCGTAATAAATGAATAAATAAGTTTTATAATTACTTGTTGAGAGAATGATATCAAACATGTTTTTAGGGTGATGCTTTCTTCGTCATCAACAGCGGTACTGTAAAAGTGACACAGTTAATAGAAGGCGAAACAGAACCACGTGAAATTCGAATATTGAACCAGGTAAGGAGAAATTTTTAGCCTGGTAGTGTGTGTAAGTTCTGTACTCAATGGAGTTATTTAGGGAGATTTCTTCGGTGAAAGGGCCCTCCTTGGAGATGAAGTTCGTACGGCGAATATCATTGCCCAAGCACCTGGTGTTGAAGTGCTAACGTTAGACAGGCAAGTTGAAAGACTTATTGGCTGTGTTCGACTTGGAGGGGCATTTTATACTTTCAGTAGTTCCCTTTGATTATTCACGTTAACTAACAGGTCTCAGTTCAATCGGACGTGTAAACTCCTGAAAAGCTGCGAGATTACACGAGTGAGCCGCTTCGGTAACAAGAGTTTACAAGTCAACCCAATGTGACCTGTGGAAGCTTAGCTGAGTACAATCTGCCCCCCCCCTCCAAGCCGAACTGCGCTGAATTCTCTGTTAACGCATTCTGGGCCGACTCCTATCTCGCGTGGTATTCACGTGTGGCTGGAGGTTTTTGTAATGTTTGTCCGGCGTGGCACTCAGCCGGTCATGTGCCCAGGTTTTTTGGCACCTTTTTTTGCAACGGATTATTTTAATCCTGATTGTGCTACTACGGGTGTTGTCGTTTTTTTTCAGTTTCACATTTGATATGAATTGTTGGAAGCAGTGCCGTTTGACACCATGAAGCGTCACTACCTTCCCCAGAAATCGATGTAATCTGGCACTTGGGGGTAGTCCGGGGGTGGGGGGGGTGGGTAGGGGTGTTGATTATGGGCCATATACTCTATACATTTTTTGATTCCACGCTAGTGCTGAATGTTGTAGATTACCCTCAAATGCAGTATCAAGTAGACATTGGTATGTAAAAATGGGCTGCTAAAGACGATAGCCAAAAATGAGTGCCGCATTCGTGATTGGAACGCACCCCGCCCAAATCACGGAGCGCAGGGCACATATGTTGAGGGTCTCCAGCAAGGGGGTCGCACTTGCTTTCGAGGAAAATGTTTTCGGTTGGTCGGTTGTCGATTTTCCTCGGTTTCGCCATATCGCCGTCGCGCCGTTGCGGTCCCCCTCCTCTTCACGCACCCAAAGACGGCAGTTTCTCTTGAAAGCAAAACCTGGAGAAAGCATTCTTGAAAACGGGGGGGGGGACTGGAAAAGTGAGAGGAAATGGGGCAGTTCAGAAAAACGGTTGGTAGGGTAGTGATTGGGGGGAGGGTGTATCAGAGGAGGGACTTCCAAGGGGATCGTATTTTGCGAAATTTCCTTTAACGACAGGACATGCCCTGCTCCTCACAGTATGCTTCCCTCCCCCGTTTTTAGCACACGTGTCGAACTTGGACCTCAGAAAAGCCATGACTGCCATGAGTGTAGATGCTCCGAATGTGATGCCAATATGTTGTCTGCAGCTTTCCTTCTAACATATAATCGTGTTACCTTTCTCAATTACTGTTTGTTTTCAGGAATCATTCCTCAAACTAATAGGTGATCTTGAGCATTGAAACGCAGATTAAACGGTGAATAAGGACGATTGGCACAATGTTTCAAATAAGAAGCGCTTGAGTCCCATACAAGTGATGGATCATTGTCACTTTTTATCTTAGAATGTGGATACTTTGAAATGTTGTCATTCATTGCCTTTACTGCCTCACTCTCGAAACTTGCTAGATTTGACCCTGTTCGGCTTAAATGGGGCATTTTGCTTCCCCACTAGTTCAAGTTAAATAACACCTCACACTGTGGTGAGACCTGTAAACTCTTGTCAAGTGTTAACGAAATTCATATTGCACAGGAGTTTACAGGTATTCACAAGAGGCATCAGCACCGATAGATGGGAACCCAGGGCACAGCGTTCGATGGCCGCTAAAAGGGGGGGGGAGTCGTAAAAGCTCGACCAAAATCCCCATCGAATGCTGTGCCCTGTGGGAACCGCCAAAATGCCCCCAGCAAGCCAAGCAGCGTCCTAATTTCTATCCAACATAGTCCGCTGGAGTAGATTTGGACAGAATTTGTGCTCAAAGTGGCGTGACTTCTAGAAATTGAAAATCGCATTGGCATGGTGCCAAAACCCCGCGTCCGCGCTACTGGTACAGACGTTAAAGAAGGGCTAATATCACACCCGCTTGGCGCGCTTATAGCCCGCCAGGCCGAGTGAGACACTGGTGCCATTTTCTTATCAGATCTGCTCTCAAAGAGAAGTTTTAGAAAAAAGTAACAATATTTAGAAGTGGAGCAGTGAGAGACGAATGTAGCCCTGTTATTTTGATAATTTTCACTTGCAGGATGTCATACGAGAAGAGTTTGCACATGTTCAATTGAAAAATATAAAACGGTTAGCAACCCTAGGTGTGGGAGGATTTGGACGAGTAGAATTAGTAAGTTTTTTCTGTCACCTTTGATCCATCAGACTTTAATCAAACAACGCATTGAATTCGCAACATTTCAGGTTTGTATTAATGGTGACAAATCCCGGACGTTTGCTCTAAAAGCATTAAAAAAGAAACATATCGTAGATACCCGGCAACAAGAGCACATTTTTGCGGAGCGAAATATTATGATGGAGACTAACTCTGAATGGATTGTGAAGTCAGTTTGGCATACTTAAAGACACAGTGTATGGTAACTTAGAAGGTGGATGTACCCTCAGGTATAAGGTGCGCACATTCATAATAGACCAATGCGTCCTTTCGTCTCAAGTTCAAGAGCGTGACAAGGGCGCTAGCAGCTTAGAAGACAGAGCGCTCAGCTCCCAGGCGCGTGGTCCCCGCCCACGTCACGGCTACTGTGTCATTGTGCAGTTGATCCTGGATTTCTTTTCGAATTAAGAATGAACATCGCGACAGATTTTTTGCATGTGGGGTGGTTAAGTAAGCGGCGCTACCGGTACTGACATGAATCCGGCAGCAGGTGGGGAAACTCGTACCACGCTCGACAACTAAGGGTCTTATTCAAGGCGTTTTTCTGCGTATTTTATTTTTCTGCTGTCCTCTCAATATTTGAGCCTCACCACCTTCATTTTGCCATTGTGCACTGTGCAATTGTGTTTTTTTTTCTAGTTTGTCCGTAGTTTTTGGTCATACTTCGCGCTCATACTTCGCGACTCGAGCGACTGAATCTCAGAAATCGGGAATCGAGCACTGTGATCGAACGCGCTCCACCGCATTTTTCAATCATCGGACCGCTGTTAGTTCTCTCGCGTTTGGGGTAAAACTTTCGAAAGGGCGAGCAATAACGCCACCTAAGAAACTGGTGGGTGGGTCAGTTGCGTCGAAATGAAAAAAAAATGCGTCAAGGGATTGGTGAGCCTGGACGAGTTGTACGGGATACGCGGCGCATCGACGGAGTGAGAATGTCAGTCTTAGCTGGTGCGCCGCTGTATCAACCAGGTCTCCCCTTTCGAATATTGCAAAAAAAGCAGCGGTGGACGCGAGTCGAAGTCGCGCGACTGCTTCGCCGGGGTCGCGAACTATGAAGGTGGCCAATTATTGATCGAATTGAATCGAATTACTGTAGTATTATTCGACCCGTTTCAGATTATTCAAAACATACCGTGATACAAAATACGTGTACATGCTTCTCGAAGTGTGCCTGGGTGGAGAGTTGTGGACAACGTTACGAGACAGAGGTCATTTTGATGACTACACTGCTCGATTTTATGTTGCCTGCGTGCTCGAAGGATTAGAGTACCTCCACAGAAAACATATAGTATATCGTGATCTCAAGCCGGAAAATTGCCTGCTCACCAACACGGGATACCTCAAACTAGTGAGTGTAATCTTTTTTTGTAGTTATATACGGTAATTTTATTGTTCTTTAATCGATTCAGGTCGATTTTGGTTTTGCCAAGAAGTTAGCGTCTGGTAGAAAAACATGGACGTTCTGTGGAACACCAGAGTACGTGTTTTTGTTATGCCCATAATCGGGACACTTGTTATCTTTTTGATGTTCTTATCTTTGCCTGCACACAAATTTCACATTTTATATATTGTAGTTCAATTTTAGTGCGGGGAGGGAGGGGTTAATTTATTTCATTTTTATTGTACTGTTATCAGGGCACGTATTACATAGGAGATCACCAGCGAGGAGACGTATTTGACTTGAAGATTTTTTTTGATAGTTGACCTGCTTCACGGGCGCTTTTCTCGTCAAAAAACTCGAGTGCGGAGGTCGTATTTACTTTTGAGAGAAATTTGCCGCGTTGCGACGAAATATTTCACAGGGTATTGGGTTTTTTTTCGCGGTTTTTCCCGTTTCACCAGTGCTATAACAGCCCCCC